TATTCTATTCTATTCTATTCTATTCTAGTGACTGTTCAAAGTTAAAACAACACTGACTGAAGATCAGTTTTCATACATACAACCGTTGAGAATCTCCATGGTCATGTAATAAAAATTCAGGTGCTTGCCAACTGGCATGTATTTATGACTGTCCTCGGGTCAGGTAATTGTCTTTGTAACTGTCCCAGCCAGCTTCTGACAAGCAAATTCAATGGGGGAAGTCAGGTTTGCTTAATGGCTGCATGATTCACTTAACAACTGCAATGATTTTCTTAACAATTGTGGCATGAAAGTGTTATAAAATGAGGCACAACCCACTTAACAATTGTCTTGCTTATCAAGGAAACTTGGTCATAAGTCATAACTGACTTATGCTGTGGTCATAAGTCAAGGACTACCTGTATACTGTTGCTTAAATAACACTAACTTTTGTTATAGAGCACAGGTGCTGATCTGTAACATATAGCTGCTGCTTGAGAATGAAAACTGAAAAATTTATAAAGAGAATACTTAAAGGGTGTGTTCCACTATTTTATATATGTAAGCATTGTATATTTAAATTATGAGATTTTTAACAATGAAAGATGCCACACAGGCAATCAAAAATAACAACAGCAAAACAAATGAAATGCTAACAATGATGATGCCACAAGGATTTACATTTGTGACTTAAATTCAAACTAAAATATATACTATGTAGTAGAACAATAGGGATATGACACAAATTTGCAACAAGCCAGAATTAAGACATTAGTCACACACCAAACTTGGGAAAAATAAACATTAAAGGACTATACACATAGGTTACAATACCTGCTGTTTAGTGCATTCCTGTGAGCCAAAATGAAATGAATGCCATGTAGGAGGAAAGGAAAAGATGAACATAATCAGATATAACAAAACATATACTATTATGAGCTACTGCTATTATCTAAGGAAGTTTTTAAAATGGATTTTCCCTAGGCAACTTAGTCAATTTAATATAAAATGTTATATATTAGTAATTTAATATAAACTAGTATTGCTAAAATTTATCAATTTTCTTTAATAGATTTCATCTATATTTCCTTTCTATATGTTATTTCTTTTAGCCTTTAAAACATAATTCAGTGAGCATGTGCAATTTCAGCAAATCTTTGTTTTATAAATCAAGTAAAGGATATTGCATCAAGAAACCAAACATGCAAATCAAGTTTTATTTTACAGCCTGATTTGCTGCCTTTACAGTGAAGGACAAAAAAAACCCTTGCATAATGAAGCATTATATTTAGAATGAGCACATATGAGAACCACAGCCAAAATGCATCTCTGCCTGCTCCTACTATGTATTTGGGCAAATGTGAGAAATGTATCGATGTTTCTGCTTTATACTTTTTAAAACATATCAAAAACCATCCCATCTTTAAGGTATTGAGTTCAAATGTAAGAATTCATAAAATCATACAGAAAGTTACCAATCCTTTCCCTGAGAAGTATTCTATTATATAAACAAAATAAATAATCAGGGTTATTCAACAAGATTCACAAAACAGCAAGAAAAAACTATTTGATAGCAAACATTTACAGGCCAGCAATAATTATAAACTGAAAATGGCTACACATAAAGGAATAAACATTCTTGAAAAAGTTGTTCTCCAATACTTTAGAATCAGAGAGAGCACTTGAAGGTACCAAAAGATTCAAAAGATTCTCTATTTTCTGCATTATATAAATGAATGAATTCTTTATTGGCCAAGTGTGATTAGACACACAAGGAATTTGTATTGGTGTATATGCTCTCAGTATACATAAAAAGAAAAGATACATTCGTCAAGAATGATAAGGTACAACACTTAATATAGTCATAGGGTATAAATAAGCAATCAAATCATACTAGGAAACAGTCAATATAAATCGTAAGGATACAAGCAACAAAGTCATACAGGGGGGTCATACAGGGGGGTCATACAGTCACAAGTGGAGGGGATGGGTGACAGGAGTGATGAGAAGATTAACAGTAATAGTAATGGAGACTTTGTAAATAGTTGGACAATGTTGAGGGAATTAGTTCTTTAGCAGAGTGATGGCATTCGGGGAAAATGTTCTTGTGTCTAGTTGTTCTGGTGTGCAATGCTCTATAGCAGTGGTTCTTAACCTGGGCGATTTCATTTTTCAGGGGGGCGATGGAACGAAAAGGGGCGATGCGGGGGTGAAGGAATGGAAGGGGAGTGATATGGGGGCGATGGAGCAAGAAGTTTTGGGGACACTTGAGACTTTTTTCATACAGTGAACAGCTGTATATCTGTCGTACAAAAACATAAAATCGCTTGCTATTAGTGGATTGAACTGTGTTTTAAAATGTTCTGTAAAAATTTTCTTTGTGTCTTTTTAACCCTTTTTACAGTGTGCATGAATATATATTTTCCTCGAATCTTAATTTAGTTTCAGAGTTTTCGTCTTGAAATTCTTGGTTCCTGCATTACGGTTTGTTCTTATGCCCTTTTTATATGTCTTTTTGCGTCTTAAAATTCACTTGTAATTAAATCATTGAATGTTACTGGGTTTTTTCGGGCATTTGATTTTCTTGCAATTGAATTTTGTTTTCAGTGGTCATTGCATTTAAGTGTCTTGAATAAATAAGATAATAATGAAATACTTGTATCACGAAGTTTGGGAGTAAAGCAATGGGTGGCATCAGAATTTTTCACACAGTTGAGATATGGGAAAATGACTGGAAATAAATTATTTGCATCGATATGTCCTGATGACAATTTTAAAGAAAACAAAAAATCTGTTTGCATAAATTGAAGAATTATTTCCCTGTGTTCTGATTGAGAGGTTATGTTGGGGGAGGGAGGGCAATGATAACTTCCTCAATGGCTCAAGGGGGCAATTCTTTCAAAAAGGTTAAGAACCACTGCTCTATAGCATCATTTTGAGGGTAGGAGTTGAAACAGTTGATGTCCAGGATGTGAGGGGTCTTTAAATATTTTCACAGCCCTTTTTTTGACTTGTGCAGTATACAGGTCCTCCATGGAAGGCAGGTTGGTAGTAATTGTTTTTTCTGAAGTCCTAATTATCCACTGAAGTCTGTGTCTGTCTTGTTGAGTTGCAGAACCAAACCAGACAATTATAGAGATGCAGATGACAGACTCAAGAATTCTTCTGTAGAACTGGATCCGCAGCTCCTTGGGCAGTTTGAGCTTTCTGAGTTGGCGCAGAAAGAACATTCTTTGTTGTGCTTTTTTTATGATGTTTTTGATGTTAGGTGTCCATTTTAGGTCTTAAGATATGATGGAATCTAGAAATTCGAAGGTCTCTACTGTTGATACTGTGCTGTCTAGTATTGTAAGAGGTGGTAGTATGGGAAGGTTTCTCTAAAGTCTACCACCATTTCTACAGTTTTGAGTGTGTTCACTTCCAGATTGTTCCAGTCGCATCATGTGGCTAGTTGTTCAACCTCCCGTCTGTATGCGGATTCATCGTTGCCTCAGATGACACCAGTCAGTTGTATCATCTGCAAACTTCAGCAGTTTAACAGATGGATCATTTGAGATGCAGTCATTGGTATATAGGGAGAAGAGAAGTGGAGAGAGCACACAGCCTTGGGAGGGGGGGGGAGGCTGTGCTAATTGTACAGGTATCAGATGTGATTCTGCCTAGCTTCACCTGCTGCTTCCTGTCTGTTAAGAAGCTTATGATCCACTTACAAGTGTGTTCAGGTACTGCTAGCTGGTTTAGTTTAGTTAGAAGAATGTCTGGAATAATCGTATTGAATGCTGAACTGAAATCTACAAAGAGGACTCTTGCATAGGTCTTTGGAGATTCAAAGACCTAGTATGTAGTGCAGAGCCATATTAACAGCATCACCTGTCGATCTAGTTGCTCGGTATGCAAATTGCAGCAGGTCTAGCAGCAGGTCCATGATGGTTTTCAGGTGGGACAGCACTAGCCTTTCAAAGGTTTTCATAACTACAGATGTTAGAGCAACTGGTCTGTAGTCATTCAGTTCCTTGATGGAGGGTTTCTTTGGCACTGGGTTGATAGTAGAACATTTGAAGCAAGAAGGAGCATAGCACATCTCTAGTGATTTATTGAAGATGGGGGTCAATTGTTCGGCACAGACTTTTAAGCAAGGAGGAGTTATCTTGTCTGGCCCTGGTGCTTTTCCTGGCTTTTGTCTGTGAAATAGATCTTGCACTTCTTTTTCTGTGATCACCAGAGGTTGTAAATGCAATGGGTTGGGGTCAGTTGTGGAAGGTTTGGCTGTTGTTGGTGTGGTCTGAGATGGGGTCAGTTGACTAAAGGAATCCCTAGTGTTTTATTGAAGATTAATGAAGATTATAATGAAGATTAATTCACTGTATCAAAATTATAAAATTAATCAAAAGACTTTTTCCTCTCATAAAATGTCATGTCTTCCCAAGCTAATTCTTCTTTATGTAACTTTCAAGTCTGATTCTTCATGTTATTATGTAGTGAAAATAGTTATCAAATTCTCTATTGGTACAGAATGAAATGCCTAATATTGTAACTGGGAATAAAAAGAAGTTAATACTATGCAATTTATGTTACACAATTTACCCATGGACTAACTCAAAGTGTTAGTCTTAAAATTAATACGTGCACAGTGAGTATATCCAACTTTATTATTCTATGTTCTTATTCTATGTTCTACAAAAATCTTAATCTCTTCAGCAGTAATTCTCTCCTCAGGACCCCATTTGCAAATCAGAAGTTAAAATAGTTCTGCTATTTGAGCCCATCTATTTGTCAGGAAACCGTTAGGCTTTCAGAAGCAAGAGCCACAAGCCAGAGCCTCTTTCTAGAACAAGGAAAATTTCTTCTCTCTTGTTTTTATGTAGAATTTTTAAATAAAATTACATTTTTGAGAAATATAAATTTTGTTTAGTACTGTACCATCTCAAGCTTTTAAAAAAGCAGCATATTTAAACATAACGAACAAACAAAAATACTCTACTTAGCATTAATGTTGTGACCAAAGATATTTATAATGCCACACTCAATGTATATGTACTTCATTTATTTCATCATATAATTTGCTCCAGAAACCTACTTTCATAATGAAAAATGGCAGTATAAGCTATCGCATCATTCTTGTACTATGGAATGCTGACACGAAGACTCTGGTATTTCAAAATACAAATACTTTTAAACAATAGGCAAATATTATAACATTAAACTAAAATATGACTTCTTCAGCTAGAGTACCCAAATCATTGGCAAACTAATTATGCAACATAATGCTCTCTCAGATGATAAAGATTTGGTTCTGATTTGTTAAATGATGTAATATTATGTCAGCATACCAGTGGAAGATACACAGTCTGGTTTAATATGTTGAAAAGAGACAATGTAAAATTGAGCTTACATAGATAACACATCACAAATTTGTTCTTTGGAATGAGGTAACAATAATTCATTGATATGAATCTTCAGACATAGAGTTAATGTAAAATGTACTTTAAATATCCATCACATTAAAATGCATTCTGCACATAATAACTACTTATTATAAAAGCAAGGCAACTTCTATACAGGGAATAATTTGATCATATCTGTTTTCACAGTAGAAAATAGTTAATGATTAGCAATTTTATAGTCTAATTCTCATACTGTAACATACACTATACAAATATTGACAGCTTACCGTATGATAACCTCTAGGTAAGGGTGGTTTCCCTACAGGATAAGCATCCACAGTATCAATAATTGTTTGTCTTTCTCCTTTTTGGTTGATTTTTCTAAATCTCCTTCTAGATTGTCTATGTGAAGCTTGTCGCTGGAAATACTCTTCATTTTCATCCATGTAATCCACCTAATAAATAAGCAAATATAATAATGTACTTTCAATGTATTTTAAGCAACATTAACAGATGGTCTCCAATGCATTTGCAAAGATTTGTTTTATTCTGAGGATATGAAATCACAGTTTACTACCTACAAATTGTATATTTTAAATAGTGACTCCAACTGCTTTAAAAGAGAATGAATTTTAGATATTATTTCTATCCTGGATCTCACCTATAGTTGTTACATTTTACAAATGTATTTTAACTCTGTCTTAAATTTTATTGTGTTTATTATCTGTACTAGTCTTTGGCCAGTATGTTACCTTCATCCCGCTCCCATCAGAAGTCATCCACAAGCATGACCAATGCCATTGAAGTACCAAACCCTGCTCTAACCCTGACTGAAAGGAGTCTAGATAATTTGCTTTATCCAGACTTCTCGGAAGCTGCCATGCAACACTCTTTACCACCTTCCCTAGAAAGGAGAGGTTAGACAAAAATTGTCCAGGCTAGCTGGGTTGAATAATGGTCCTTTGAGGCAGGGGAGCACCACGACCTCTTTAAGAACTGACAGGACCATTTTCTCTCTTCAGGAGGAGTTAACTATTGGCCAGATTCCCCCATCCATCCCCTCCTGAGAGGCTTCATTAACCAGAAGGGGCACAGATCTAACACACAGGTGGCTGAGAGAGCCCTACCCATTTCCTCAGGTTCAACAGGCTCACTCTTGTCCCAGATCACCTTGCAAGATGTAGTTCCCATCACCTCCACAGACTCTGCCCTAAGGGTCCAATGTAGAGCAAATGCAACCAATTTTATCTGCCAGATGTTCAGCATATTCTTCACAGCAATCTTTTAGGTATATTTCAGCACTGCTCCCTCCAAGTAGGGAACAAGTCACCTGGAAGAGGCAGCTATCAGCAAACACAAAAAGGGAAGAGAAGTAGCTCCCAGTAGTATTCACAAACCTTATTGCTATGAGTTAGGCATGAATAGCGGCTCTAGCTCTTGTCCAATTGTCTTCGGTCCTTGTGTTTCTCCAGAGATGGTCTAGATGCCCCTTAATCCACTTAGTTTCCCTTAATTCCATTGTATACCATGGGGTAACATCAGGAATCCTGGGTGTGGAGACACTACTAAGGCACAATCTGATCTAAAGCTACTGTCACTGTTTTTTCCACACAGTCACCAAAGCTTCAATCACACCGAGTAGCAGGCTTTCCAAAATAACCCCAAGTTCCACCTGGAATCCAGTTGGGTCCATTAAGCACCTGGGATGGGCTGATCCAATAGGTTCAGCCTCCCTGTGGATGGAAGTGGCACCTGAGAAATTGAGGATCAACAGTGAGTGGTCTGCCCTTGGCACAAGAGAAATCAAAATCTCCTCCAATTCCAGAACACTCTGGCATTGCTCTGACAGAAAAACCAGATGTATTAGTGCTGCTATGAACTTGCTGCCCTTTTGGACTAGGCTTCAAACAGTAATACAATATTCGTGTAAAATAGTTTCCTTTAAATCTATGCTGTTACCAAGTTCTTCACTGATACTTGTATATAGCTTTCTTGACAACATTACAGAAGTAGTTTGCTATTGCCTTCTTCAAGGTGGTTGTTGTTGTTGTTGTTGTTTTGTTGTTGTTGTTTTTAAACAAATTTTATTTTTAAAAGCATACAAAACATACAAGATAAACATAAAACCTTTTT